GCTATGTGAGAACCAAATGTAGACTGTGTGTTGGCTTATCTGTAGACGTAAGCAGAGGTTGACATTAAAAATCCTCAGTAATTACTGCATGTGAGAGATTATATTATCCACGTTTGCAGCAGTGTTCAGATGACTATATCGCACAGCAATATTCAGAATTAATGTAGAGTATACACTTTTGAGTATGCCGTGCTCTGCATCTCAGAGAACTATTTCTGTAGCATTTTTTGTGAATAACTTTTTAATGTCCTCTAGTATGAAATCCTGTTCTTTCTGAAGAAATCACTGCTTATTATTGCTGTGAGTACATCTGTAATAAAATTTTGAAAAAAAAATTACCATAAACATGATCAATCTTATTTCAAAAGGTTGGTCATGAATCCTCCTTACACATTTTGAGATCAGTGTGCTTTGAGCTTTCATCTTATGACAAATACCTGAACCTAGCTGAATTTCATATACCTGAGATTCAGTTCAAAAAACAAAGGTGAATTCTGCACAAAAATAACTGGATAAGCTATGGTGTAGGGGAGCAAAAATTTTTAAACCCCCCTGAAAGTTTCAGCTCCTGGGATGTCTGTCAGGTTCCTGGCTGGATGACTTGGGAATTACACGTGTCAAATTCTCTCTGGCCAACACCGTGGTCCTGTTTGGATGATGAGGCCTCTGAACCTTTCCATTGGAAAGGGCTTGTAAACATCCATGTGGAGAGGATGATGGCACTGGCCTTTTGGTTTATAGAGACATGACTTTTATCCAGTTTTAATTTTCAGTTTTTCATACACTTGTCTGTAGTAATTGTTTTAAAATCTTGAGCAGTCAAAGCCACATTTGCTGAAATTGTCAGAAGTTATCCTCTCTGAATGATTGAAACACTGCCATAAAAATGAGAGTACTGATGTGTCTAACTATATTGGAAAGTGACTGTTTATGCACAGATTACTCTTGTACATCAGAAATCCTATAATTGAAAAGTAGCTAATATAGAATGATTAACAGTAAGAAATAATAATTCCTGTCTGTGTTATCCAAACAAACTTCCCAGTGCTTTTATTGGAGGCGTTTATTAATCTAAACATGCACAGTATATCATTAACGTATTTTCTTGCATGATTGATCGATTGAATTAGTTGTTCACTGGGAGAGGCATGAAGTATCTAAGTATAATGGGAGGCAGGGAAGAAGGGAAGAGAAATTGACTTTCTTCAGGAGATATATTAGCAAAACAAATTAACAATTTTTGCTAAGCAAGATCAGCATTCATTTCTGCATACTGGAGAGAGTTCATTATGTAGAGCGTCATGTAGAGCTGAAGGTCAAGGCCAGTGTGCTTGCTTCCTGTTTTTCAGTGATCCATTATTTACTCTTGCTTGGTCAGAGTCACTGGTGCTTCCAAAGAGGAAAAACAAAAACAAACAAAAAAAAGGCATCAAGAAGAAGGTCTATGAGATACCTGGGTTGTCACTGTCATATGCACACACCACCATGATAGAAATCAAGCACCCTGAATGCACCAATCAGTAGCTCTAGTAGCAGTGAAACAATTAAAACAAATAGATATGTCATTGCCATAAGCTGTAGATGGATAGGAAGAGACTTGTCACCCAAATAGGCTGGAGTTTCTTTGCCTACTGAGTTTTCAGCACGGTAGAAAGCAGAATGCCACTTGATGAGTGTTTTTCCACTTGTCATTTATTTCTGCTTTTTCCAAATGGTTCTGTATAAGACAAAAAATTATGTATTTGTGTTATTGTAGATTCTGGGAGTGCAACCCATGGAGCTTTCTCTCTAAAGCAATTCATTCCATATGGGTGGGTTGCTATAATTATATCCATGCAGATGCTGAATCCACTTACAATATGCAGAAACCACGGCTGTTGTTTTTGCAGAAAAATGCAGAAAAAGCTAGAGACAAAAGCCAGCTATTAATCTGGCCTATTAGTATGTGGACAGAATGACTGCTACTGGTTTCCCCTCCCAGATTCTCCATTTGTCTCTGGGCTGTTTTTCTATACAGTTAGTGCACACAAAAGATACAAACAGTGGTGTATTTCAGTTTCCTTCTCCTCCAAAAAAGATAATTAATTTTTTTTTTTTCCCCAGAACAAAAATAGTTACTCCCCATAGACCTGATGTGTCTGGGAACGTCTGTGTGGCTGAACTGTATTCCATCCACTGTGTGTATGCTGTGTTGCAGGGCACTAATACTGAATGGTGAACCACAGTGGGTCCTCCCCGTAATGCCATGCTTATTTGTCTGGAAATGCTCTTCATCATTCCTTCATTCCCCCTCTTCCTTTTTGTAATTCAAAGATATCTGCGTGGGATAGGAGTCTGGTAAAATATATTTTGCCACACCAGATGCTCCCATTAAATTTTCATTACTATATGTCTTACTAACATATTAAATGTTTTTCTGGATATTTTAATCTATAATCTTGCACATCTCAAAATCCATTGAATTAGAAATTAAGCCTATGTTGAGTTTTTGGGTACTTTAGATCTTCTCTGCAAATACAAGCTATATGATATATGTGCTCAAACTCATCTGTTGTGAAATACCATATAAATTCCTTCTTGCTGTGTCTATGATTTAGAAATCATAATGCAGCTAGAAGTGTGAAATATTAAGCATATCCTTTTATCTACTTGGAATTGATGGCGACTTCAAAGTCAGTCCTCATTCATTGCCCGGTTTGTTTCACTTCAGCAATGACTTGAACTGTGAACAAAAGGAGCTGACAGTATTTTCAGATGGGCGCTTTATAGTTGTGCACTTTGCAACTATATGGTAGGACTATCTCTGTTGCCTTGAATGCAAAATTAGCTTGTTGATACGTGCTGCTACAGACAGAGGAACAGATGTAGTAATTCTACTTTATTTACATGAAATCTCTAAAAAGGCATTTTCTGGCAGCATGCTAGGAATAAATACAGTATCACATATAGAAACGGCGCCATGCTATGTTAGCTCCTTCAGGTGTCAGCTGTGCCATTTGGATGTGGGCGAGAGCAGGGAGTCAGATCCCTCCCAGAAGGGCTGGGAGCTTTTTCACATTCAGCAACCCAGCAGCAACCTGCCCCTCAGCCCAGGGTCTCTGCTGAGTGCTGTGCCAAGGGCTCCCATCAGTAACACCCCTGTGGGAGTCCTAGAGGAGGATATCAGATGTTCTGATTTTTTATTTCTATTTGTTTTTCAAAATAGGAAACCCTCTTACCTTGTTTCCTGGTTTGTTTTGGGGGTTTAGGTTTTTTGGTTTGGATTTTATTTGTTTCTTTTGGGTTTTTTTGTTTGTTTGGATTTTTTTTTCCTTCGGTTGGCTTTTTATTTATTTTGTTTCTCCATCCGCCTGCCCCCTTCACCGTTTACTGTCTGTGACTTGGATCTCCCCTGAGCTCATGTTTTCAGGCTCATTTTTCACAGCCAAGACCTTGTGGAACTTAACTGAGATTCAAAACTTGTGGGGGAGGAAGGGGCTATTAGGGTGGGGAGGGATTGCAAACCACAGAAATGTATAATCTGAGTAAAGAAATGAGGCTTAAGTCTATGAGTCTTTTGAGCCAGGAATACGAGAACTGGTGAGTGATGCTGAGCTGGCAGCTGCTGCAAAGGAAAGCTTTCCTGGGGGACTCTGCCTTTTCTCCCCTTCCTCTCTCCTCATTTGCCATTGTGCAAAGGCTGAGGAAGGAGGCAGGTATTACTCCAGTGACAGTCCTTGCTCTCCCCTCACTACTTCAGTTAACTATCAGGTTGAAGCCAGGCTGTTGCCTCTATTGAATTGTCCCTTCTTTCACTCACAGTATTCAAACTTTCCACTGTGGGGTTGGGGTTGTTTGTTCAGCTTATGAGCAACCAGACACATTAAAGATGAAATGCCTTGACTCTGAACTGCAGGCAGAAGTGGTGGGAGGAGACACAGCTAATTTGACTTGGAGGATGATTGATGTGTAGATGTCAATTTCTATTAATATTCTTTTGAAATCACTGACGCAAGCGTGTTTTTCCCCCACTCAACAGAAAATGTAAATAGAAAGAAAACAAAACAACCCTGTCCCTTTAATTCCTGATACTCAGAAACAGTTAAGCAAACTCTGTCATTTGAAAGTGTCCTCCACAGGCTGGCAAAAAGCAGCTTATGGTGGTGTTCTTACCGCTTTAAGAATATCAAGATGCTGTAACAGAGCTATCTACTTACTGTTAAAATGTATAAAGAACAAAAATCAAGTGTTACCTACAGATAGGCTTAGATAAATTGCTTAAAAATGTACAGCTCCCTCATTAGACAGCCATTCATTGCATGAAAAGAACTAAATGTATTTGTCGAGGTGTAGCTATAAAAGCCATGTTCAAAATGAAACAGAGTTGAGAGCCTGAACGCACAGCACTGTTATTCAGAAGTAGCTTTCGAGCAGAGAGTTTCAACGGGAAGGTGCTGTTTGCTTGGACACAAATCAGCAAACCTTTAGCTGAAGCTGAATAATTCGAGCGTGCATGAAGAGCTTCCTGAAGAGAAAAAAACGCAAGAATAAAAAAAAAAAAAAGAAAACCTTCAAACATTTGCATCAGCCTTAGAGGACAATACAAGCAGCAGGATTTGAAACAGATTTACAGATGCACTCTCTTTAGGCAGGGAGAATGCTCATTAAATGCAAGATGCTTCTGTGGCTCGTGGGCTTGCACGGAGGTAGAGGTTTGCAAGACTGACGTATCAGATAAAGTCAGAGTGGTTACCACACCGACGGTGTAGCAGCTGCATAATAAATGATGGAGAGAATCATGTTAGGCATGCCCACCTAACCTAACTTGAATCATGCGAAAGGGGAGCTGCTGGAATTCAAATAGACTTTCTGGTTCCCAGCAGTCGGCAGTAATAGAATGCTTTCAGGAAGATGACAGATGCAGGGGAAAGATGCTGTTTTGCACTATCTTGATTTGTTACGGCAGCCAACTTATTGGCATGATGGAGTGACAAGAAAAGCAGCTGGCATGGAAGGTAGGATTATCAAAGCTATTGCATCATTATGAATGTAATTAGAAACTGACCATGACAAAGCATATGCTAGAATGAGCTGTCACTGATGACAGAGGATTTGTTGCTGAGGTCTTGAAACTCTGAAAACAAAATTCCTCGTGCAAAATGGATTTTGCAGTTTCATATATATGCTCGTGTTACTCTTTCTTTCCTGCTTGCCTGCAAGCTCGGGGAATTGCTTGCTTGAAAGAGAGTGTTCTGTTAGGATGAGACTGAAGAATAAAGTATTTTCTAAGTCTCTGAAGCCTCAGGTAGATAGAAACAAACAAACGTGAAACAAGACTGGGAAAAGCTCCCTCCGATTCACTAGCAAGCTCTGATTGATATATTGGCATATTGAGGAATTCCAAGGAAATGAAGATGCATGTACTGAATGCTCTGGTATAATGAAAGGATATTATTGCATGTCTCTGCTTTACAGTTAGTTTTTATGACAGGTTTTATTCCCCATCAGTTTTTAGCTCTTGACATTTATCCGGTTGTTCAGAATTATATAAAGAAAATACATCAATATCTCCTGCAGGGTTTCTCAACAACTCCAGCATCTGTTTCAGCTATTGAACTGTATTCACGTTTTGCCAACTTGATGCCTACCCAGCTGGTCTGTCATTTCTCGCTTGATTACTGTTCTTAATTTCTCTGTATCAACTTGTTTCAGGCAGGGTTCTGAAAGCTGTTAATGAGAAATGACAGTAACTGCTTAACTGTTGAGAACTTGAGTATTCTCTTATTTTTAAAACATTAGAGAGCATTTCTGTGTGCATTTTATTAAATTCATATTCTGTGTTGCACTGTGAGGTTTTCATATAATAACTGAATTTAACTGTGAATACTTTAGGTGGGTCACAAACATAACTTTGAATATTTTGAGAGAGTTTGAGAAAATTTACAGGTGTTTTCTTTGGTGTAGGTATTGTATTATTACATGATCCTTCCTCTTGTCCACCTATCCCTCACAACATATATATTCTCCCTGTCTGTCACGGTGAACAGTCATTAAGTGTATATTGTACATATTGAAATATATTTTATCACCACTAGGGTGAACCGGCGGAGCAGCTCTGAACAGGTGATAGGAACAGGTTTAAAACAGACATCAGCTCTACCAGAGTGGATCGCCCTCGATCAGAGAAGTGAAAGTAGTGCTTTGTAAATGTAATGCATTCTCTTTCTTCCTATTCGAAGGTTCAACAACCACTCAAACACTGCCTAATAGCTCACAGGCTATGATTATGTTAAATTACTTGGATTACTTTACAAAATGCTTTCTTCTATGTAAACTCCATTCTTCATTAGATTTTTCTTCATTAGAAATTTTTTTTTTCACAGGTGATAATCAAGAAATTACTTGTCAAACTGGATATTCACTTTTCTGACTTTATCTTAAATTACTTTATTGGCTGTACTCTGTGTTGTCTTGTCAACAGGGATCAGGCTATTAAAGACTAAATGCTGCTGAGTAAAACTGTAACAGTTTTAGAAAGATAGATGTTTCTAGATACATAGCAGTGAACCAGCCTTTGGAAAGTTTGAATGTAAGGATCAGTAAAACTAATAGCTAGTGTTATTTAGCTTCTTGTGCATTTCCCTGTTTTGATCATTTACAAGAGACATTTTAAATTATTTTGTAACTGCTGGGAGGGGAGATCTACTCATTAACAGAGAGGAGCACTGTAGGGTATGAATAGCCAGAAATAGTTCTGTAGTTTTGATGGCAATAAAATAAAATTTCATTCTATTTCATAGAAGTTCAATTAAATTTAACAATACTTTCTCATTGTTGATCACAGTGAAACCATAGAGAGAGTAACCCCTATAAACAGCTTAAGACTCATTCTCCTTTTCAGGGTAGCAGTAAAACTGTTTTATATTGCATATATTATATCTTTATACTCCTGAATCTGCTTAGTCTCTTCACGTCTCCAGAATGCTGGCTGGCAATCATCATGCAGTAGTTACTTAAAATATTCTTTTCCCTGTGATGCCAGTAATTGTAACTTCATGCTGTCTGTGGCCATCACCCAGCTGACAAGAGATTTTTTAGTTTATTTCTGTCTTCTCTCTAGTATTTCGTTTTAGCTTTCTCTTTCACTGATGAATTAATAGGACACTAGGTGGAGCCAGCTGTTGATTAAATATAGATCTACAGTAATATAGGCCTGTTTAATGAGCAAGCCCCAGTATATAATGCTTATTATTAAAAATAACAATTTAAAATGTTAAGAATTGAGTTGAAACTTAGCCATGAAAGTGTAGATCTGGTGAGATTAGAGGAAACCATTTTTAATTTTCCTTGCCTTTTATTATCTTAGAAGCTTGTAATCAAATATGAAAAATAATAATAAGGAAAGAGCATCTAGATTCAATAAAGAGGGCTAGGAAGAAAATGAACAGAAATAGAAAAAGAAGAGGGAAGCAGCAATAAGAACCAGCAGATGTTTCTACTACAGATACATGCAGATATCCAGTTGTGTATCTGAACATCCTTTGCCTGATGCACAGAGATTTTCTCTCATCCTTACATTTAAATCTTCCTTCCGTTCTGTCTTCCTAAAGTAATTTATAGAGCTGGCATCATTCACTTTATATTTAGATGTGGGATGCATGTTTTCAAATCTCTTCTTGGGAGGGTGTTCTAGAAGGTGTGCAAGGGCACAGAGAGTTGTCACTCATATATTGGCCAGACATAATTAAGAAAACTCTGGAAGGTTATTTAGTAATTGAGGTGGAATCTGGTTGTATGTGCTCCTTCACATAATTCTGGTTATTAATCCTAGGCAATGATAAGGGATCTGTAGTCCTCGGCAGTGTGACAACACAAGAAAAATACACTCCCACAGATATTTACAGATATGTACTTCAGGTGTGATACACACATTAACTCAGCAAAGAAGATATAAAAACCAGGGTGTATGTTGATACTTGGTTACATGAACTGAAGATGAAAAAACAGGAAATAAGTGTGAGATGACAGGCAAACCCAGAGATTAAGGATGTGGGCTAGAGCAGTCTGGCAGAACAATGACAATTCCCATCAGCCTCTGCTAAGTGAAGCACTTGAAAGTTTAGTCAATGCCTTTTTCTTATGGGATTAAAAGGGAATTAGGATGTGGAGAGGCTCAAGTTAGTGAGGAAGACTTGTGGAGGAGGGAAATGACAGCTGCCTAACACTCCAGGAGTAATGAAGATTAGAAGACTGGAGATTGACCTTTGCTGATGTTATTCATAGAAACTTAGAATTTTGGTGACATGAGGGTTAAAATTCACCTGTTAATAGAAAATAAAACTATGCATGGACATAGTGCTTTTTGGGGGAGCCTCGCAAGAAGCAGTGCTGCATTGTCAACCTTAAGAGATCTTTTTGTTTATGAGCTGTGCAGTTTGTGGTCAACAGCAAAGCATGGGAGGAGATCAGTTATGGTGGAGACAAATTTTATTAGTTTTCCAAATAATTTAATATTTTATTGAAGCTAGGCTATGATTTTATTTTTAAAAATTTATTTTAGTGGATAGTCTTAGCCAGAAACACGGCCTTGGAAATATGTTATGGTGTCAGTACATCCATATCTGCTTCTGTACATTTTCTGTTCACCAGCACCCCAGGACTAGCTTTGAATGAACTCATCCTGACATGTTCTGAATTTTCTTTCTGACAAAAGGAAGATATAGTGTGGCAGCTCTTGACTTTCTGCTGCTGGTCATCTGCTGCTTCACTCAGTTTGTGGTTCCTTCTGAAGATGGTTGAAATTTTAGTTAAAAAATACCCACAGTGTGGGGAAGTGTCTGACCATCTTGGGCAAGGGCTATGAGAAGCTGAGCCAGAAGAAAAAAGATGTGCTCCTTCTCTGTATCAGTGAAATCTGTCCCTTTAAAAGTCCACTAGAATGAGGAGAAGGGCGGGAGGAGAGGAACTAGCACAACAGGTGAGGAATGAAAGGATTTTGAGTTTTCCATGAGGCAGTCATTTGATGAATGAATGGTAATTGCCTTGCAAGAAAAGCATAAGGAAAGGCACATATGGAAGTCAAATTGTCCAAGGGATGTTAGTGAGCATCTGGTTATATACTGCCAGAGAGCATTATACAAAGCCATATTGTATCTTATCAAAATGTATTAATAAATTTAGTCTATTAGCAAAGAGGGAAATATTTTTGTCCTTCAAAACTCAGGGTTCACATTTTTTAGGTTTTTAATTTAGTTATTCATACTGTGTAACAGAATTAGGATTACTAACAATTTGGAGAGGGACATATTTGATAATCAATGCTAAAGGGTATCCTTTCTCTCTACCCCTTATAAAGATTTGGGGGTTTTTGTGTTGGTTTGTTGGTTTGTTTTGTTGGGGTTCTTTTCACAGAATATGAAACCACATATCCCTGAAACCACATGAGAAAAAAAAATATATATAACTTCTTCCTCTACTCTGCCCTTATGAGATCCCACCTGGAGTACTGGGTCCATGTGTGAGTCTCCTAAAACAAAAAAGACATGAAGCTGCTGGAGTGGGTCCAGAGGAGGGCCATGAAGATGATCAGAGGGTTGGAGCACCTTTCCTCCAAGGACAAGCTGAGAAGGTTGGGTTCTTCAGCCTGGAGAAGAGAAAGCTCTTGGGAGGCCATAGAGAAGCCTTCCAGTACCTAAAGGGCACTTACAAGAAAGCTGAGGAGGGACATTTTACAAGGCTATGGAAGTGATAGGAAAAGAAGGAATTATTTTAAACCGAAGGAGGAAACGTGTTGATGAAAGAGCAAGTGAGAGGGACAAAAGATGGGAACAAGTTTTCCAGAAAGGTGGTGCTTGCCCCATCCCTGGAAGCATTCAAGTTGGATGGGGCTCTGAGCAACTCAATCTAGTTGAGGTTAGAATAGATGACCTTTGAAAGGTCCCTTATAATTCAAAATATTCTATGATTTCTTAAACTACAAGGATACCAGTGGTGTTGGATCTTTCCTGCTCTATGCCACTAGCTCCAAAATGTCCATGAGATTCACTGCAGAACTGAGGATATGAACACAGTAGTTGTTTCTTACAGAAATGTCCTGGACATGATAGACACAGTGATGCAGTCATGAAACAGGCAGAGCTGAAATGGAGATGTGAAAGAAGATAAATCAGGGCTTTACCAGAATTGGAAAAAGGGAAGTAATAATAGTTTTAGTTGCATCTTTTTAAATTTTTCTTTCTGGTCTAAGCATCTGTGCATCAGAATCAGGATGCAAGATGCACCTCTTTATAAAAATCAGGAATTTCTGGCTGCACTGCAGTTTATTTGGCTTTTGTTATCTTTAGAATAGATATTAAGTCTTAAAGAAGGAAAACCTGGAAAGTAAATCAAGATCAGTCAAACAGTTTTTCTTGTTAGTATCCTCAGGTTACCCAGCTTAGTCTTTTACATTATGATGCTGTTCTTTACAAGGTCTTTCTCTCATTTATGTTTCCCTGAAGATCCTGCACAAAGTTCTCTGACTTACTTGATGATACAGAGGCTCAAGATACTGAAATGGTAAAGGACATACAGTTGGTTTTGACCAATGCTGACAAGACTCTTCTTTTTTTCTTTCTTTTGTTTTCCTTCCCCTCTATTCCCTCCTGCCCAAAATTTGCCACAAATGGGGAAAGCCGAAGATCAGAAAAAGTTAACGCAAAACTTGAACAAAAATGGAGCTACTTGAAACTTGTGTTTTCTTATCTAGTCTCACCTTCACCTCTTTTTGTGTCCTGATAATTGGGATAAAGAGTATAAGTAATTTCTTCATGAAATCAAATTTTTTTAGCATTCAGTTTTGATCACTTATATTGATCTGTTTCCCTGAAACTTAAAAGCCACACTAAATAAAACCACCACATGCTGCTTTCTGTAGACTTTCCTTTTATGACTAACTTGTTATTTGTATACAGCCATTATGCAGGTCACACTTACTTTTGCAAAAAAAATAAAGCACAGATACTGGGAAAAAGTTCATAATTTTATCTTTTTTTGTAACAAAAATAATTTAAATATTCTCACACTCTGCTCATATTTAACACATCTTTATTTCTTATTACTACAAAATATAATTTATAATGGGAATTCCTCTGTAATTTGATTTTAATGGTCCCAAATGGTATTAAATAACTATCCCTTGGTACAGAGACCACTTTTTCAAAGAGAAAGCTGAAATTTTATCAATTTGTTTAAATCAAGGGTTTTCACAAAAAAAACCCAACCCAACCAACCAACCACCAAAAAAAAAAAAAAAAAACCACACAAAAAAACACTCCAAAGTATTTCACTTTCCAGTCCCAGCTTGGTTTCTATTCACTGTTGGTAAGGACTATAAAAAGTTAAATACTCAACCTGTGGTCTTCAGTAATGATTGCAGGCCCTGAATTGTGACTGAATCAAGTTTGATAACAAGGCAGAAAAGCAAAGGTATTAAACAACTTCAGGTACATGTAAAATGTTATATTTATATGCTTATGAGTCCTAATGGAAAGAATTTTTTAAATATTGAAATATTCAGTGACTGAAGGTTGAAGTTAAGGGTATTAAGAACTTTAAGATGTTTATGCTTGAGTGTCTTTGATAACTCTCAAGCTAATAGTAAAGTTACTGAATTCTCATTTCTTAGTGGCCTTATTTTGAACTACTGAAAGGCACAAGGGATTTTTATCTTATGAATGAATTTGGTACTTAGCAAAACATTTCAAAAACAGTGAAATAAATTGCCTGTCCAGTGTGATTAAATCTGTGTTTCTTCAGATATTTCTGCAGAAGCCAAGAAAAAAAAGCATGTCACAGATGTTGATAAATCCCTAATTGTATTTATTCCCAGGCTGTGTTATTTTCCAAAACTTCAGAAATAATGAGGATTAGGTAAGTGATCAGTTATGATGTTACCTGAACCAAGAATAAACAAATCATAAGGCAGTTATGATTATGAGGAGATTCTCAGGCTACTAATATAAGGATGTAATGAAGAAGCAAAAACTAAAATTCTTGGCATACTCTGGCACTGTATGCCAGCACAAGTGCCATGAGAATGTGAAAAATCAAATATGGTTTGCTTTCTTCAGAGAGCCTATTCTTAACTTCCTGTTGAGTTTCTTCAGCAAGGTAAAAATACTTGAAATAATAATGCTTGATTGTCTGTCAAAATACCTAATCCTACACTTTTCTTACAGGCACTGTTTGTTGAACTGTGTAGGCCTAAACGTATCTTTGAATCATCAGCCTTAGACAAAGTGTTAGTGCAGATGATAAGGGCCCCATAACAGTAGGGGAGTAGTATACTGCTGAAGAGAACCAATTAGGGTTATTCCTCTGGCAACAAGCAAATGAATTTTTCCTTAATGAGTCCTTAGTGAAAGTGGTATTTACTGTGATACTCTGTGTGACCTGGCTGACCCATCAAGTAAGAGGCAGCCCGAGCAGTTCTGTTGTTGTAGCACACAATTATGTATATCTGCCTAAGCCGAGAGAGCAGAACGTGTTAATTTGTTATTATCTAATGTGGATGCTTTATTATCTATTTTGTGACATCAGTGTATGTGGCATGTGAGAAATCATAGAGAAAAGTGACTTTGCTCTAGGGAACAATATGTAATTAATGTGAAGGGTCTGCATTGCATCCTGAAAACCAGGCACAGAATGATGACTGCAAACCTTGACCAGCTGTGAAGTTGTAAATACCCTAAGCAGAAAAGAGATTGCATTTTATGGCGTTCTTGGTACTCAGAGCTTGAGGATTTTACACTGAATGAAAATTGTCTTGTGCAGAGAGAAGCCACCCATTGATGATTCTGAGATGCCATGGAAACAGAGATACCCTTATTAGGCGTTGCAGTTTGTGTGTGAGCCAGAGATAGGTATGTCATTGGGAATCCTCCACTGCCTGTACTGCAACAGAAACACTGAAACTGAGAGAGAGGGAGATGAAGCATCTGCAATGAAAGAGAGAAAAAATGAGCTGGTCACTTAGATGAGGGAAATGCAGTGGTGTAATTCAGAGGACTAACTTATTCTGCTGCTGCTTCATGCAACTTGTTGGTATCTTCCAGGCCAGGAGATATGTTTTTACCTGAGTGAACAACCATCTCAGAACAGCATTATTATGATTCAGGAGAGAAAACACAAGGCACTTGGTTTGTCTTGCAGCACAGTTTGCTGGTTTAACACCTTACCCCAGAAGTTGTAGAAATATGAGAAAGCACAAACTACTGAGAGATGTATGAGTGCTGAAATCATCAGTTTTATTTTGTTCTCTGGGATTTACTAGGTCCCAGCTCTCTCCATTTAGTTTAAAGGGAAAATAAATTCATATTGATAGTGCTGGACAAAGCTGCACTGACAAGACTGGAAAAGCCATTTTTTGTGCCCCCAGAGTCAGTATAGCACTGGGAAGTGTTGGCCTCACCAATATCAGCACGGCGCTGGATGGAGGAGAGGGAGAACAGTGCACAGAGGTTTTGGCAGCGGTGATCCCTCTCTCCGAGGTGAATGCATTTGGCAAGGTTGATGGTCCCAGGGGAAGGGGCTGCAGGGGTGGCCTCTGGCAGAAAAGGCCAGGAGCTGTCCCCTGTCTGACACTGGTGCTTCCAGCCAGCTCCACTGGATCCACCCCAGGGCACAGCGGAGCCCATGGCCAAGCTCGTGGTGCCTCATGAAAAGCCTGTTTGAGGAAGGGCAAAGCACTGCCCTACACCAATTGAGGGGAAAACAGAGTGGAACAGCAGGAGGAAAACCAGAGTCAGAGGAGAATAGGAGGATGTGCTCCTGGTGCTAGAAAAGATTCCCCTGCAGCTCTTGGAGAAGACTGTGCTGGAGCAAATATCCACAAGGCAGTCCCTGGAGGACACCAGGTCAGAGCATGGTCAGAGTACATTCCTTCCTAAAGGAAGCTGCAGCCTATGAAGGGCCCATAGAGGAGTGGGTGGCTCTTGAAGGGCTGCATCCTGTGGGAGGATCCAGGATGGCTCAGGGGAAAAGTGTGAAGAGGGTGCAGCAGAAGAGAGCAGCTGTTACAGACTGAGCACAATGCCCATTGCCCACCACCCAGTGTCCTGCACTGTCAGAGTGGTGGGGAAGGGGTTGAGAGGTAAGAGCCTCGGAAAAGAAGAGACATGGGGGACAGGTATTATTTAAATCATTTTGTCTTTGCTTTTTCTATCTCATTCTAAATTAATTGGCAATAATTTACATTATTTTCCCCCAAGATGAGTCTGTTTTACCCATGACACAACTGGTAAGTTACTCTCTGTTGACACAGGATTTTGCATTCTGTTTTCTACCCCTGTCCTGTTGAGCCTAGGTGGGTGTCTGGCTGCTGACTGAGGTCAACCCACCACAGTAACGTGAACAGAATTATTCCACCTGAGCTTTCCAAATTGACAGGACATAATGACTCAAGTTTGGTAATTTTTAGAGATAATTGGTGGGAATGTGTGGGTGTGGACCACAGCTGATACTTGGAAAAAAAAAAAAAAAAGTTTGTAAAGTTAAATCGCACTCCAATTGAAGCACAGTCACTCCAGAGGTGTTTATCCAGAACTTGCCCTGAAAAGATGATGAAAATACATTGTGCAAAGGGCATCATTACTATTTTAAAGCTGCTGTAGGTTGTGTACACCTGAGCTAAGATTAGGGGCATGAGGAATTTGTTTGAGCAACATCAAGAGTGCCTTGCATTGCTAATGTTTTTGTCTGCTAGAGAGGGATTTAATGTATCAAAATTTTTTTTTGGCTGTACTAATAACATATTATCAAATCTTGCGTTTAACCAATTCTAAGGATGTTTCCTCACTTTTAAGTACTTAAAACTGAGATATGATGCTGTGGCTGTGACAGGCTATTAATTCAAAAGGGTAAAAAAATAGAGGAAAAAAGCTTTATTAAAAAAGATATGTCATAAAAATAATCACAGAAGTGTTTTTGTCCTTAAGAAAAGTGCTACTCAAATGGGTCCCTGTGGCATTTTACAACATAGTGGTTGTACAGATAATATCTGTTTTTCCTAACAGAGTTTGGGGGAAAAAATGCTATTACAGTATTTGAATTGTTTCATCATTCTGAGACAATCAGAGAAGGAAAAACACATTGTGTCTTTAAGTTGAGAAGGTGTAAAAAAATATCTTATGGGGCTGCTGTCAGATGGGGGAAAAGCAGGATGTCCTTTGCAGGGGGTGGGAAGCTGTCTGCCATAACAGGTTGTATTCTGGAGGTTGATTTGGCTCCTTTTCTACCATTGCTGGCATAATCTAGGTTTGAATAAATGTACTTGTTCAGTAGAAATGCTGTCTGTAAAAGGAAGGTTGTACCCTTGCAGAATGAATGTAGATGGGATGGAGTCTGTCCAGAGGTGTTCAGGAGCCACTTTGGTGCACCCAGCAGAAACCCTGTGTTGATGACATTGCAAGACAAACTTGTTTAAACTCTAAAAAAAAAAAACAAAAAACCTAACCAAACCATACATATATATATACATATATATATGTGCGTGTGTCTGTGTGATAGGAATTGCCTTGGGACCATCTTATTTTATTCGCTAATAATTTCAACGCTGTGACTTAGAATTAAAGAGGTTTGTTTGTTGACCCTCTGAGCTTCAGATATTGACAGTCTTATAGCACCAAACTTGTTTCTGCATGGAAAACTGCAGTGGTTCCTCTTCCAAGATTTTAGTAAAAATTGGAAAAGCCTTATTTTAATTGTTGAGGTTGTAGGCCTCAGAAGACCTAACTCAACACAAAGGAAATATAAACAATTTGGAAAATGTAAAGAGCCAACAACTGTCTTGGCCCCAACAATTCTTTTGTTGGGTCCAAGACAGTTTTTTTTATTTATTTTTATTTATCTGTTGGTTTTTGGACTGTCCAACAGCTCAGTAATTTGGTTTTGGTCCATTTGTCAAAATTTGGGAAGTGGATGTTATTTCTGGCTTCTTTATGGAAGTTATAGAACAGGCTTAAACATCAAGGTGAACATTTGGGTTAAGTGAAGACACCCATGGAAATCTGGCTTTTCTTGGATATTTCTCCTACATTCAGTGAAGTGGACTTGGGGAGGAGGTAGAAAACTGATTAGGAAAGGTCAGGTTCACATCTTCATCTGTTCCTTCTGGAGGTCAGTCAAAGTGTATTTATGGAAGCCTGGCAGTACATTCTCTCCTTGTAACCAAAGAAATGAAATTACCCCAACCCATTACTGGAATACAGCGTTAATCTTCATTGCAGATGCATTTTTAGATTAGATCTGTGATGTTTCTTTGTACATTCTGGCATGTTGCTTTGCACCTGGAAGTAATTTGTCTTGGTGGTAGTGCTTGCAAGTAGTTTGGAATAGTCCAATTCCTTGTAGTAAGTAATGAGCTCCATTGATCAAGAACAATGTAAGAGATATGTGGTGAGTTACTACAGAACCTGAAATTGAGCACGAGAAAACTCATCTATACATGAAGCAGGATTAATTTCATTAATTACATTATTATAGCTTCCTAAGTTTTGGCTTGTTCTTTCAGGTTTTTTGATACTGTATTCCTACCAGATTGCAATATCGAAGATTTTGATTGCTAATATTAATACTGCTACTCTTTTAGGAATAGAGTAGGGCTTTAAGGACCTTCTTGATTAAGCCACAATAGATATGAAGCAGAGACATTTTTTTTTTTTTTCTTCCTGGCAGGAGAAATAAGAGTGTGGTAGACACACCTAAAATGAAACAGCTTCTAATTCTTTCTGTTACCATTGGTTAAACAGTAAGTCCCTTAAGAATACAGAAGGAGAGAAAAGTTTGGCCTAGAGAACACACCAAAGAACACGTTTTTGTGTATATTTAGAAAATTTTTGGTTTTCTCCATGCATTTCAAGTGACTTGCAGCATGGTTCTCTCATGGTGCTTGAATTCAGCTCAGAGAAAAAAAAAATTATTATTTGAGCCCTCAAATATTTACTCCTTGGTAACCTATCTGCAGTCATTTAAGATCAAGCCTGAAGTTTAATATTAAAGTAAATGTTGTTAACCCTGGAAAGTAAATAGCATGAGAGTGATTGAGCTTTTCCCCCTCAGGAGAGTGGATAGGCGGAGAGCAAAAACCCTTGAATGAAATAATTAAGAGAATTAATTGTTTCCTTTTTACATACTCAAGTATTTTATTCTGTGTTTCTGAACACTGAACATTCCATGTCCTCCAGAGGAAAAGTCCTTGTAATTCAGACTTTACAGTGTTGAGAAAAGCAGCATGATTTTATGTGGGGAGCTGGACTGAGAAGGAATATTGGCAGGATTCTGTTCCCAGGCAGGGAGATGCTGAACCGCACTGCAGCACGTGCCTGTGACTGCTGACAGTGTCACAGCACCGTGTTCACAGCCTTGCATCCTGTGCTTGGTGTCTGAGGGTCACCAGGTTCATCTCTGGAATCTGTGCTCTCTGTTCAGGGCTGTTTGACAACACAGCAAAGATTGGGGTTTACAGGGGAAGAGCCCCCATCTCACGTTTCATGCCAAGTTTAGCTATAACCTAACTTAGTGTTAGAACTTCTAAGTTCACTTCCTACATCTTCTGTCTCAAAGATTTTTAGGCATTAGTGGTGGAATACCAAGACTTTACTCTGTGAACTAATTTTATATTGAATACTACAGGGCGAGTATGTTTCTTCCTGTATCAGTTCTCCATCCAGGAAACCTGAAAAGATGTTACTATAGATAGGAGAACCATTCTTAACTGTATAAATGCTCTCTTTCTAGAGCTTGTTTAACATACTTATTTAATGGTCTCAGGATCTTTATAAAATATATGAATTAAATCAGTTTTATTTATTTTTGTATATTAACAATCTATTATATAGATTGTTAATATATGTAGATATATATATAGTATATAGAGATATATATAGTAACTATATACTTTATATTTATATATATATAAATATATATATTTATATAACTATATACTATATATTTTGTATATTAACTATGTTGTGTTTTAATTTTGTTTATCAATACTTAACATTTTTTTCAGTGATGTGTTCTTGTCTTTCATGTTATTTTCATCTCTTATTTTTACTTTTTAATATTTGCTGCATCTTCCATGCACTTTGACACCTCCTTTTATTTGTTTTATATGCTGTATTTTATGAGAATTGTAGGTGATACTGAAGATTGAAGGTGCCAGTAGTTAATATTCATGCTAAATTTAATGTGTATCATTCCCCAGAGATGTAAAAGAAATTGTTTGGCTGTTGAAGCTCTCAGATAAAAGCTAAAGTGACATACCTATTTCATGCATCACATCAACTTGTTTTGCATGCCACTGTCATCCTACCTGAAGTTGTGCAAGATTAGATTCAAACCATGCAAAGCAAACAGGACAGGTATGTTGCTGCCACTTTGAACTGTGTGTACCACATTGACTCTTCTGTCAGAGATGTTTAAACTGAAAAATAAGCAGTGGATGTGGTCTTGGTCACCTCCCAGCCACACTCAATAGCTGTGGTAGCCTTTACTGCTCTGTATAATTGACCAGTCTCCACAGCCTATCCACTTTGTTATTAATATAATTGTGGAAATTAGTCATTCCTTAGCTCTTGGATTGAGTTCAAATTTGTGTAATTTCTATTACATACTGAACCACCTTCTCCTCCTCATCAGCCCTCATTACAGCTGCTGACAGCCTGGCTAGAATTACCCCTCTCAGAGGACTCTCTCCAGCAAAGACAGCTCTAACTGAACACGTTCTTTGGCCCTTTACTAACACATGGCTTTTTTTTGAGCTGTCCTGCCTGTTTTCACACATAGAGGTAGTTACTTGATTCTGAATTGTCAAGTTACCAAGAGCAGTTTTTAAAAAGAGAAAAAAGTTTTCTTTGAGTTTAGATTCCCTAAGACCTTCTTTTTTGGAGGTTTTTTTCCACATTTGGAGGATATCTTGTCTACTTCTGTGTAGTTATTTTTAGTACAGCTGGGGAATATGTGGGTCATTGTGTCACAGTCTCTCAGTTTAATCTGCTGTTAGTTATGCTAATGAGGCTTGTGGCACTGGGCTTTTGCTTCACTTTGCCATATTGTCACTTCTGCAGCAGAAGCCAAAGGTGACTTTATCCACTTCAACTGTGATGCTTTTTAAGCACATTTTGCTCTTCCTGTGATGTAGCCCTGGAACTCTGCAAGTCAGACTGTCTCAAACTCCTCATAAGAGCATAGATTTACAGCTTCTAATTTATTCTCCCTACTGTCTGGTGAAGTCTATGAAGCTTGTATAAACTTTCTAGAAGAATAGATTTTTGGTTGTTGTTTGTTTGTGGGTTTTTTTTTTGTTTTATTTTGTTTTTTTGTTTTGTTTTTTGTAGTATCATAGAATGGTTTGGATTAGAATGGACCTTAAAGATCCTCTAGTTCCAACTGCTCTGCCATGGACAGAGACATCTTCCACTAGACCAGGTTGCTCAAAGCCCAGTACAACCTGGCCTTGAACACTTCCAGGGATGTTAAAACTTTTACATGGAGATTTTGGAAGTCTAGAGAAAATAAAATAAGAGAAGGCGTATATGTAAAGACTTATCTATATACACATGTATTACCTCTTCTTATGAGAAAATTGTATTTCATATTATGTCAGAATCTTATCTCTGAAAGACTCTGGTGATTTGTAATCATGGATGTGTTCTGTCTGTTTCTGTATCTTCTTGCTTCCCTCTCAAATACTGAGCTAAAGAGGGAGAGGAGGAAGATTTGGAAACCCTGCTTCTTGTGCTTACTCCATATGCCATTGCTGACCCTGTGAATACAAACTAGCCAGAGCCTTACTACTTTGTTCAGCTTTTATGGCTTTTATGTGGTGCATACACCACAAAATATAGCTC